AGGAGGAGGAGGACAGGTCGCCCAAGCCTTTCGGAGACATGCTCCACCCATAGGACTGGGGCGAGGGCGCGCAGCGGGAAGTGGTCCGCTGGCTCTGCCGCTTCCTGCTGAGCCGCATCGCCCACGACGTGAGCGTGATGATCAACTTTGCGTACGTGCCGCCCGAGGCCTGGAGGGTTCTCCCAAGGGCTTGGGCGACCCGTCTTCCTCCTCCTCCTCCTCCTCCTCCTGCTCCTGCTCCTCCTCCTCCTCCCTCCTCCTCCCTCCTCCTCCTCCTCCTCCTCGTCCTCCTCCTCCTCCTCCTCCTCCTCCTCCTCCTCCTCCTCCTCCTCCTCCTCCACGGGTCGCCTACGGCCCGGGGGAAACCGTGCACCCGAGGCTCTCAATGCGGAGACTCTGGAGCGGTTCTCAGAGGAGGAAAAGGTACCCATACCTCTACCCTTGCCTCCCACCGCTGGATTCGCTTCGAAATACTGGTCAGAACGCACCCCGGGAGAGGTCCGGGGAGTAGCGGCATCGGTACTTTCTGGTTCCCCCAGGCTCGCCTCGTTCAGATTCAAGGCGCTCTCCTCCCTCGCAGCGCCCGGCCCCGACGGCGACGCTTACAGGGGTGTCTGGTGCCGGGCCACCATTGTCGACCTGGACCCGAAGAGCCCAGAGAAGATCCCCGAGTACGCCCGGAGCCTGGACAAGTACGCGGCGGCGTACTACCGCAGGCACGCCCAGGTGCCCGGGCCGCGTCTGCTGCCGGGCCTCCTCCTCCCCTCGGGTGCTTCTCGGGGGGCCGCGGCGCGGCTTCGGTGGGCGGGCAGGCGTGGAGCTTTGTGGGGGGAGGGGGGGAGGGGAGGGGAGGGGGAGGGGGAGGGGGGAGGGGGGAGGGGGGAGGGGGGAGGGGGGGGGGAGGGGGGAGGGGGAGAGGGGAGGGGGGAGGGGGGGGGAGGGGGAGGGGGAGGGGGAGAGGAAGGGGGAGGGGGAGGGGGAGGGGGAGGGGGAGGGAGAGGGGGAGGGGGAGGGGAGGGGGAGGGGGGGGAGGAGAGGGGAGAGGAGGAGGAGGAGGAGGAGAGGAGGAGGAGGAGGAGGGGGGGAGGAGGAGGTGGAGGAGGAAGATGAGGAGGAGGGGAGGAGGAGGAGGAGGAGGAGGAGGAGGAGACTCTGGAGACTCTGCCTGATCGCGTAGCGATATGAAGATGGAAGTCCGCTGGCACCTATTGAGGTGCCTGTTGCTTCCCCATTCTCTGGATGGTCTCAGCTTTGCTGAGCGCTTTGGGCCAGGACCCCATTGCTATACGACGCAAATACCCTCGCCCAGTGGCGGTGGGTGTGTCACATGCGACGGCTAACTTCCCAATCTGTCGGGAAGCGTACACCCCGCAGTGAGCACAAAACCACAATTTCAGCCCAGTGTGGAACCTTAAACGATGGGTTAAATGAGCAAATCCCCCCGCCACATGTACCTGCTTCCCAAGGGGGGGGGGTCTCATATAAGTGCCATCAACATTCTCAAGGTCATAACAGCTGATGCCGAGCCATCCAGTCATACGTGCAAGCGAGGCTGAATTCTGGCATCTGTTACACCTACCGCCAGTGCTGTCCAGAGTGTATTGAGAGGAAAACACGGCACACACTGCGGGGGCGGGCGGTTGGGCTGGAGCCTTAAGCTTCGGCCTCCTGAGACGTTGGCCCTCGGGGTGGGCAACCCTGTCGGCCTCCAGAGCGTCTATGTGAGCCCTAAGGATCCTCAGTCGGACAGAAGACGCTTTCTGCTCTACACGGGCATACTCTTGGCGAACGTGCTTGGGAAACCTGCAATCACGAGCCGCTCCAGCGGCGAGCTCATCAGCGACGGTGTTGCCGTAGGCTAGGGAACTGCTGATTTTCCCCGAGCATATTTCGGCCTCGGTCATGTGTGACCGTATGCACATCACAATCACATCTGCGTGCCGCTCCCGTACGGCCTCTCGTACACGAGACCACAGATCTGCATCCGCGCCCTTGGGCGTCTGAAGATGGCCGTTGTGGTAGTTGAGATGCACACCTTCACTGTCCGTGAAATAGACCAGGTCGCCCGTCGTAGTCGTAAGGGCCATCAGCAGCGCCATAACCTCGCCGCAGATGACGGTCTGTCGGCCGCCTGGGAGAGGTCCCCAGGCAGCACCTGGCATGTCCATGCCATTCTTGGCCAGGCCATGAAATATTGCGATGCCGACTTCGACCCGACGGAGGGGTACGCTGGATGTGTCGCCCCCTCCGCTGCCGTTGTCGAAGACATAAGTGGGCTCGCCATGCCCACTGCTGAAACATCCTGGGCCGTACGCAGCGGCCCCATCGACTTCCCAGCACTCGTGTGTCACGGGAGGTGGCAAGGCTGTCCAGCTGCGCGGGATGAGCCCTCGTGTCCAGTAGCATTCGTACATGTGCTGCCGCGCCGTGGCCTCTGCGATGAGGGCGTCGGTAGCCTCGTAGACCGGGCACTCGAGTCGGCGTCGGCACTGCCACACCCGATGGAACTAAGTCTCCCCGGCCTCGCCGCATCGACCGCAGTGGCCATCGGTGTCGGCGTCCTTGACTTCGGCCCGAACACGAGCCTTGGGCCACATGGCACCTGTGGCAATGGCCAGCATGAGCGTGGCTAGGCGCACACCGTTCCCCAAGGGCTCGAGGTACCTCAACAGCCGTCGGTAGGAGTGGTTGTCAACTCCGCCCTCCATGCCACCGCCGCCGTGATGTTTACTGGCTTGACGCCAATATCTGTCCTGGATGCTGTTGTCCAGGTCGTTGAGCAGCGCCTCTGGGATGTCCACAGCTGGGATGCCCGTCAACGCCTCCGTCTTGAACTCCCAGGTGTCAGTGCCGTCGGCGAGGGCCCCTGGTAACCTCCACTCGTTGGGCTGCACAGGGTCTCAGCCATTCTCAAGCAGATCGAGGACGATGGCTGACTGGGGTCCTCGTGCGTGCCTGGCCCGTTGCTGTGCTGGCATGGCTCGGAAGCTGCCGACAACCTTGCGCCATGTGAACTGAATCGTTTTCTGTAGCGGCCCTGCCTGCACCCAGTGCCCCAGCCACTCTTGGACGGCCTCTCGGGGGAAGCGTCGGGCTGGGTCGCGCTGCCCCGTCTTGAGGTCGAGAAAAGTGGCCAGGCAACGCCCGGGTAGGCGAGGGCCAATTGCGTCGCCAAGCCGTCGTCGGAACAACGTCAGCGCATGCCATACACTCCGTGAATCTGGTGACCGCGTGCGCCCGAGGCCTGTCCGCCCTGCTGGGCGAGTCGGCCCGTGACACGGCACCTTCTGGTGGCCCGCGCCAGGCGCGCGATCTTTTTGTGCATGAGACCGTGTCGTACCAGCCGTTGCGTGCGCTTGGCCCGTGCATGCCGAGTCCCAGCACCGAGGTCGGTGCCGATGTAGCTGGCCTGGCTCTTGCATTGGATCAGGTAGTCTCTGCGCTTCATGGCCCCCGCGATGAACTTTGCGTCATCACTGTCCGAGTAGATGATGACGCTCTTCTTGGCAATGCTGAGCCCCCGTGCGCCGAGCTCGGCACGCGTGTCGGCTAGGCACCGCACCATGTGCCGACGTACTGCCCGTCGTGAGCCCTGCATGCGCTGGGAGAGGTCGTCGGTCCATATGCGGTGGGAGCGTCGCCAGTGGACCTCCGTGATCTTCTTGAGAGCCCTGAAAGTTATCACCTTGGCGAACCTGGCCCCCGACCGCAGACCCTGCACGACTGATCGGCTGGGGGAGATGCCCAGCGCACACGCGCCGCTCTGCGCGAGGACGCGGGGCGCGGTGCCCTGGAGGATCTCGATGCCCAGGACTTCCTCTGGGAAGTCAACCTCGAGTGCTTCCTCGCCCAGCTTGCACCACTCGATGCTGTCGTAGAACTGGGCAACGTCTAATAGGCCATGGGCCTGGGATGTATGGACGTACGCTGCGAGCTCCGCATGCAGTGCTCGCTGGTGCGCCTCGCGCAGCGCTGGGTTCCCCTTGGCCGCCGCGTCCCAGTGCGCGAAACACTCCTTGTTCCACTCCTGCACTGCGTCCTCTCGGCGCATGGCCCACAGCCTCGCAATCTCTGGCAAAAGCCCAATAATACGGTCGCCACCATCCTTCTTGGCCCTCACAACCCCCGACGTGAGGAGGAGTTGGTGTGGCCGTGTCTGCGTCTGTTCGGCGAGTTTGAGGATGGTGGCGGGTTTTTCCAGCGCAGGGTCGGGCAGCCTGAGAAGGTCAGTCGGCCTGAGCCTATCAGCTCCCATGGCAGTGGGTGCCCGCTGGCGCCGAAGCCCCTGCCTCACGTCCTGCGCCGTGAGTGATGGCAGGCCCCGCTCCTGGATGCGCTGTCGGATGGGGTCGACAAGGGCCTCCAGGCCAACGCTGTCGGGAGCCCGCGGCCCCCGCAGCTCGGCCCAACAGCTGACCTTCCGATCGGTCAGATCACGCGTGTGGACGATGGTGCCCGTCTCGGTGACGACCGACTCTGCTGGCTGATGTTGGGGCCGCAGTGACCTATGCAGCACTCCGATGGCAGGCTCGGTGTCGGCCCACTCGCGGAAGTCACGGAGGGGGCTTCTTCATTGTCCGTTGCTGCGCACGGCGTGCGACAGCGGTTGCTTTGCTGGTGTAGCTCATGACCTCGATGTCGGCTGCAGTCCTGATGCGGCCGAGGAGGTCGACCCACTGCTCCCACCGTACTCCGCCCCGATGCCGCAGCTGCCCTGGGACCTGGCTGGGCACGTCGGTCGTGAGCTTCTCGACGCACGCGTAGAGCTGGCCCAGCTGCCGCTGCCCGTTGCCCCTCGCCCTGTGCCTGTAGATGTTCTGAAGGATGGTGCGCAGCCTGGTCCACCGCGAACTGCTGAGATCCCGCAGTGCTGCACGCCGCTCGCCCTGCTGCCCCCGAACTGGTACCACACGAAACTCGGGCCGTTCTGCACGAGAGCCGCCGAGGAGGGCCTGACTATGGTGCGCGTGGACAGGGGCCTCAACCGCTGCAACCCAGGAGCCGTAGAGCTGCCCGAGCTGACAAGAGATATCAGGTTTGAGCGAAAAGGCGACGGAGGACGCAGCAGCAGCAGCAGGCCGAGTGGAGTGGGGGGGCAGCAGACCCATTCGCGCACGGTGCTCATTCCAGATTTCACTCGGGATATCCAAGCTGGGCTGAGATGCGCTATCCGTGCTGGCCGACTCCGACCCACGGGATTCCGCAGGTATGCGGGGATTCTCACACTGGGCTGAGTGGGACGTTCCGACACCGAAGCAGGCGGGATCAGGCTGTGGGGGGTGAGCGAGGTCCGAGACAGGGTTTTCCTCCACGCTCGGCGCGACCAGAGGCTCGCGACGGCACAGCAAAAACACTTTCGTCGGCCCATGGATCTTCCTCGGGCTCGAACCCAGCCTGCGATTCACGATCGGACCGATCGTCGGCACAAGTGGACTGGCCCTCGAGCTCATCGCCCGCGTTGGCCGACCACAGATCTCCTACTAAAACTAAGTTTTACGTTCGACTGCCTTTGCAGTCTGCTCGGCCCTCTTAGCCCTGGCAACGCTAGATTTGGAGCCTGCTGTGGAGGCCTGAGCAGGTCGGGCTACACTCGAGAGCCGCCGAGGGAGGTCGACAATGCGGGTGAGCAGCTGTTCCCCCTCGGCGACGAAATGAATTCTTAGGGCAAGGTGTGGCTTCCACGGTGCATCATGCACCGCGGTGACCTGGGAGACGTGCGCACGGGC